GATAAACGTAAAACAAATCGTGGATTAACACCAACAGCTACACCAACAGTTACACCAACTAAAAGACGATCTCAATCATAGAGAATGATTATTCCTTCTATCGAAACGTTGGCAATCTTCCATTTATTTTTACTTTCATCCAGTGAATCTTAAAATTCCATACAAAAATAATATTATTTGATATTGTGTATTTTTTTTTCTTATATAATTATGTATTTTTGTTCTTTCTTATCATCATTCCTCTTTATTTCGAAATCTATATCGAGTCTGTTTACGTAGAAATATACGTGTTATTTTTCTGTCTGTTAATTTCTTTCTTTCCTTCTTATTTATTTTCTTTTTTTGTCTCAATAATGTGTTATTATTCATGAAAAATAATTGATCAACGAAAATATTGAATTAAATATATAAATATATATATATATTTTTTGTTCTTATTACAGATGGACATAAGTTGTCCAGAATGTCGAAATACAAAATTTACAAATCCAAAAATGAAATTAAAGGTCAGCAAATGTGGCCATTCATTGTATGTGAATCGATAGATAAAAGATGATATTGTATTTTTTTTCTTCTTCTGTGCAGATGTGAAAATTGTGTGGAACTTAAATTTAGCAAAGGAGTTGGATATTGTCCAACATGTAAAATTGAATTAAAAAAAAGTGGCTTTCGATATCAAATATTTGAAGATCCATATATAGAACTTGAAACTGATATTCGAAAAGCAATTCTCAAAGAGTAAGTCAACAAAAAGAAGAAATCATCTATAAATTTTTTTCTTTTTCTAGTTTCAATCGTAAAGAACAAGATTTTACTTCACCTGATGCTTATAACGATTATTTAGAAATGGTCGAAACTTATAGTAAGATTTTTGTTATATTTCAAAATATGTTATTGCATCGTATGATGCAATGAATCGACAGTCAAAAAACTTGCATCATATAAAAGACAGACTAATATATAGGAAATTTATTCTAGTTTTTAATCTCACAAATAAAATTGATGTTGAAGAAACTGAACGAAAAATTCTTGAATATAAAGATGCGAATAAAGAAGTCATTACTAAAAATCGAGGCAAATTAGTAAGTAATTTATTGATTTAAACAAAAAAAATCAATTATTTTATAATTAATAGAGTAATGATGAAATATATATTGAACATTTAATTGAACAAGAACGTACAGCTGAAGAAATGCGTAAACAAATATATGAACAAGAACTTCAAAAAGAACAAGAAGCAAAACAACGTGTTAAAGATGATCTTATGAAAGCATTAGTAAGAATACGAATTTTTTGTTGTTGTTGAAATCATATTAATTATGATTATTGGTTTATAGCTTCATTCAGATGGTAATGTCAATCAAATACTTAAAACAAGTATTGAAAATCTTGAAAAAAAA